TTTTTTTTTAATTTTTTTTTTCAACGTTTATTTATTTTTGGGACAGAGAGAGACAGAGCATGAACGGGGGAGGGGCAGAGAGAGAGGGAGACACAGAATCGGAAACAGGCTCCACGCTCTGAGCCATCAGCCCAGAGCCTGACACAGGGCTCGAACTCACGGACCGCGAGATCGTGACCTGGCTGAAGTCGGACGCTTAACCGACTGCGCCACCCAGGTGCCCCAATTTTATTTTATTTTTTAACGTTTATTTATTTTTGAGACAGAGACAGACAGAGCATGAACGGGGGAGGGTCACAGAGAGAGGGAGACACAGAATCCGAAACAGGCTCCAGGCTCCGAGCTGTCAGCACAGAGCCCGACGCAGGGCTCGAACTCACGGACCGCGAGATCACGATCTGAGCCAAAGTCGGCCGCTTAACCGACTGAGCCACCCAGGCGCCCCTCTTTTTTTTTTTATGTTTTTATTTATGTTTCAGAGAGAGAGAGAGAGAGAACGAAGAGAACAAATGGGGGAGGGGCAGAGAGAGAGAGAGAGAGAGAGAACGAATGGGGGAGGGGCAGAGAGAGAGGAGACAGAATCCGAAGCAGGCTCCAGGCCCTGAGCTGTCAGCACAGAGCCCAACACGGGGCTTGAACTCGTGAACCTCAAGAGCATGACCTGAGCTGAAGTCGGACGGTTAACCGACCCAGACACCCAGGCGCCCCTTAATTTTTTTTGCATGAAAACTCCTGTATTTCAAAGTTGGCAATGAATTCAGAACCTTTGTTTATTTAGGTTTATTTATTTGTTTTGAGAGAGACGGAGAGGGAGGGGCAGAGAGAGAATTCCAAGCAGGCTCTGTGCTATCTGCATAGGGCCCGAAGCAGGGCTCGAACTCCCGAACCGCAAGATCGCGACCTGAGCCGAAATCAAGAGTCGGACGCTTACCCGACTGAGCCCCCAGGCGCCTCGAATCCAAAACCTTTAAAGTGCTGTACAGACCAGCACAGGTCTGTGGTTTCTCTCTGGGTGACAGTGGCCGGCCTTTGGATCTTGTGGAGGTGGTTTTGGTCTTTAGCACAGGCGGAGGGTGGGTGGGGGGAGGCCATTTTCAGCGGCCTTGGGAGGCACTGAGGTCGGCTGGCGCCAGCGGGGGGACCCGTTCAGAGGCCCTAGTTGTTAGGACCTTCTCGGATCCTGGACGTCGGTGACTGACACCCACCGCCTCTGTGCAGGAGTGGGTGCAGTGGCTGCGTGGCCACCCCTAGTCTAATTGTCTCCGCGGCCGCAGGCCTGCGTCACCGGAGCCTGCCATCTGCCAGGGAGTCTCCAGGGAGCTCTCCCCGGCCTACCATCTGCTGAGCCTTCCTGGAAGGGAACCGCATCGTGTGCATTAAGCTTGGAAGGGGGACTTCGGCGTCTCCTCCCAGGGCTTTGTCCCGGGGACACAGTCCCTGTGCTTCACCTGGGCTCGGGCCCTTCCACCAACTCTGTTTGAGGCTCTCTGAGGCTTTGCATGTCCCTCTGAGGGAGGCGAGTTCGGATGTTCCGGCAGAGACTAGGTTGCTTGTGCTCCTGGGAATCTTCCCTGAAGGTTTGGCAGGGCTGGTCCCTTCTCAGGGTTCGAGCTTCCGCTCAGGTGTCCTCAACTGTTCTTCTGCCTGGACTTCACCATGGCCCCTGCCGCTGTCCGTGACTACCTGTTTCTCGTTTGCTCCCTCGCTGCCTGTCTTCCCCACCGTGTTGAGAGTCGTCACGGCATACCCTGAAAAGGGCAGACAGTGGTACATTTTTAATCTTGCCAGTTTCACCCCAAAACACGTTGTCCCAACGTGCGCTCCAGCCAACCGCATGTGCGGCAGAACCCATTTCTCCGCCTCTCGGCTGACCCTGGATGTTCCCAAGCTGTGGAATTTCTGTTGCTGTGATAGGGATTGAAATGGCTTAGTTTGCATTTCTTTGATGATTCACAAAGTTGAGCATCTTTTCTAATGTCAGCTAGCCTTTGATATTCCTCCTATAAATTGTTGACTTCCAGAAAGCGCGGTATGGGGGGGGGGTGAGAGGGAGCAGGGGAGTTCTCAGGAAAGAATTGTCTTGTGGACAGACATTCCCCCCCGCCCCCTCAGTAGTCTCGTTAAGACACAGAGTCTGAAAGGAATCGGACTCGGCGGGAAGAATATGCTCTAATAAGAAGAGTGTGTATTTGAACTTCTATCATTGTTTATGAAGATAGGAATGTTCTAGGCACCTCTGGAGACCTCTGAGGGCACAGGCACAAAGGACTGACCTCCACTCCCCCCAGGCTGCTGGGCCGCACAGACCAGCACTGAGCAGCGGACCTTATGGCAACGGTGCAAGTGCTCTGTATCTTTGCCGTGACTGTTGAGCACTTGAACCTGGCGAACGTGGAGTGAGAATGGGCAGCTGTATTTCACATACTACTTTCAATTGCATTTAAATCTAAACGGCTTCATGTGGCCACGGTCACATGGCTACCATACTGGTCACTGTGGCCATAGATCATTGTCTTTGTTAACGGCCCTTTGCATTACGCTTTCCTGATTTTAGGTACCGTTGTGGGTGTTGTTCTGTACACGGGCAGAGAACTCCGGAGTGTCATGAATACCTCAAATCCTCGAAGTAAGGTGTGTATGTGGTCCTAAGACGCATCTCCTTGTCAGAACTTTTTGACTTGATGTATCTTGATGATTGGTGTTGGCTGGGTGAGGGGCTAGATTTTGGCTTTTTATGTTTGTTTATTTTTGAGAGAGAGAGAGAGAGAGCGAGCATGAGCACGGGAGGTGGAGAGAGAGGGGGACAGAGGATCCAAAGTGGACCCCATTGTGGCAGCAGAGAGCCCGGTGCAGGGCTCAAACTCACGGTCTGTGAGACCGCGACCTGAGCTGAAGTCGGACGCTCAACTGACCGAGCCACCCAGGCGCCCCTGAGGAGCTAGATTTAAAGACAGTAGGGTCGCCTGGGTGGCTCGGTCAGTTGAGCGTCCGACTTCAGCTCAGGTCACGATCTCGTGGTTCGTGGGTTCGAGCCTCGCGTCGGGCTCTGTGCTGACCGCTCGGAGCCTGGAGCTCGCTTCCCATTCTGTGTCTCCCTCTCTCTCTGCTCCTCTCCTGCTCATGCTCTTTCTCTCACAAAACTAAATAAACATTTAAAAAAATTAAAAATCAAGGTAGGAACACCTAACAGTGTTATTTCATTTATACAAACTTACCGCCTTTTCATATACGGGGGTGTGTGTGTGTGTGTGTGTGTGTGTGTGTGTGTGTGTGTGTTTATGTACCTACAGATGCGTTCATGTAACACATAAGCAGGTATGTGTACGTATGTATGTGAATTCATAAAAATGTTAAAGCTCGTAGGTTAGAAGTGTTGAGCACCTACCGTGTGCTGTGTGTTCTCCATTCTTCACCCACATCCCACTTGACCCTCACCCCAGCCTCTGAGCTCAGGCACTTCCACGGGCTCATCTGAGCCAAGCGGTGGCCTTGAGAAGCACCGCGTTCGGCCGAGCCGCACAGCGAGGAGGGGGCAGCCTCGGGTTCCCCCACCCCGCTGACGGCCGGCTGTGGCAAACGCGGTCCACGGTGCCCTCTGCCCGGTGGCGGCCCCGTTGTCGCTTCTTTCGCACCGTGACTTGCCCTCCCAGCCCGGCCCCTCCTCCAGTTTCGAGGAGCCAGAAAGTACAGAACGATTTCCTCTGTCGACACCGTGAACGAATGCCACTCACCGTCATGACCGTCCTTACAGCCGGAAGGCCGTTTGTTTGATGTTTCAGCCTTACCCTGGGCCACGTTTCTGTGAGGTTCTGGCTTTGGTGTGCCAGTTACGTTTTTGTTAACATACACGTTAGCGTAAACACGCAGTTGGTAAGATCCTCGTGTTCAGCAATACAGCCCTTACACGTCAGGTGCCCCCCGTGTGTGTGCCCTGAACTCAGGCAGCGCTGGATCAGCGTGTGGTGCGGATCTAAGAGGTGGGGGCGGATGGCAGAGGTCATGCCACACAGAGTGCCACCAAATGCAGCAGTAACCTGCTTATGTTTGCAAGTCCCCATCTTCTTTTTTTCTTTTTTAAGTTTATTTTTGAGAGAGAGAGAGAGAGAGAGAGAGAGAGAGTCTGTGCACGAGTGGGGGAGGGGCAGAGAGAGAGAGGGAGAGAGAGAATCCCAAGCAAGCTCTGAGCTGTCAGCGCAGAGCCCGACGCGGGGCTCGATCCCACGAACCGTGAGATCATGACCCGAGCCACAGTCAAGAGTCAGTTGCTTAACCGACTGAGCCACCCGGGTGCCCCAAGTCTAACTCTTCTTAATCGTTAAAAAAAAAAAAAAATTGAAATCCAAATTCTTTGAGGTTCTTTGGACATCTGTTAGGAAGTCCAGCCCACAGAGCCCGGTATTCTCAACCAAAGGTTCCAGGGGCTGATGGGTCCTACCGACTCACCGGGGTGGAGGTGTTCTTGAGTGGAGGACCAGTTCTCCGGGTAGTGGACCAGCATCCACTAGCTCTCCTTTGTGCCTTGTCCGGCAGATTGGCCTGTTTGACCTGGAAGTGAATTGCCTCACCAAGATCCTCTTTGGTGCTTTGGTGGTGGTGTCGCTCGTCATGGTTGCCCTTCAGCACTTTGCCGGTCGTTGGTACCTACAGATCATCCGCTTCCTCCTCTTGTTCTCCAACATCATTCCCATCAGGTAAGCAGAGGACGAGCCATGGCATTGTCTTCTCTTTCCTCGTGGTCCCTTTGAAGAACGATGACCGGGAACTGTCAGGGTCAAGGATGTGAGCCGTGCTCTGTGGCTGTAGCATCAGGAGGGAGGGCGCCTTCCTCCCTGAAGCATCCTTTCCTGAATCAGTCTCTGCTCGGAAGATCTTGCCTTGCCTGCTTTGTGCCAGGGATACCGCTCAGAGTCCTGTCTCCTCTGCCGGCTCAAGAGGTTGGGAGTGACTGCTGGGAGTGCTGCGTTGAGACGGGTCCTGAGTCCAGGCTCAAAGGGGACCACAACAGGGATGAACCCTGAAGGCACTGTGCCGAGGGAAACCAGCCGGTCCCCAAAGGACAAATCTGTGCAATTCTCCTGTGGGCTCCCTAGAGCAGTCAAATTCAGGGAGACGGAGAGTAGATTGGTGGGTTCCAGGGGCTGGAGGAAGGGGAGAACGGGGCGTTGTTTCATGGGTATGGAATTACAGTTTGGGAAGATAGAAAGTTCTGGAGACGGACGGTGGGTGACGGTGGTACAACAGGCTGATCATACTTGATGCCGCTGAGCTGTGCACGGACTGGTTTCAGTAGTAAACTTGTTAACGTAGATTTTGCCACAAGTTAGAGCAGCACATTATCAAAATACGTTGGCTCAGAGGACCAGTAATTAGGAAAAAAAAAAAAGGACTAAGACAACTACCATTTCAGTATTTTAAAAGCATTTAAAGTTTTCAGTGTCTTATCTTAGTCCAAAATAGAAGCGCTTCACAAAAGTGAAAACTTGGGTGGTGAGTGATCTGAGAGCGGTGTTGACTCTTGTCAGATGTGGGGATTCAGCCGAAGACGCGCATCTGTAGGCAGGGGTTCCAGATGTTGTGGCCCAGATGAGTGTTAAGAGTCCTCGCCATCTGCAGAGACCCTAGGAACCTCGCAGATGTGCTGTTATTAACCTGTTTGCTCTGGTCTTCTGACTAGTCTGCGTGTCAACCTGGACATGGGCAAGATCGTGTACAGCTGGGTGATTCGGAGGGACTCGAAAATCCCCGGGACCGTGGTTCGTTCCAGCACGATCCCCGAGCAGCTGGGGAGGATTTCCTACTTGCTCACAGACAAGACAGGTGAGCTGTTTCCTGGGCCTTCCGAGGCTTCTGGGTGAGGCGGGTGCCTGGATTCTCTTTCTGGAGGTGTTAGAGATGGTGCTCCTGGACCTTTGGATGAGGGCTGATTATTTGGTGACGGTGACCGTGATGGTCGTCACCATCGTCAAGCAGCAAAGCCTTACACGGTACTAATTACGCACGGGGCGCTCTTCTGGGTGTTCATTTATACTTGTTTAGTTAATCCTCCACCTAATCTTGTGGGCATTTTTATCCCCATTTTACAGACGAGGAAATGAGGCACAGGGAGGTTTACTGCCTTGTCAGAAGCGCAGGGCGACAGAGCAGGCAGTCTGGCTTCAGGCCCTCGTAACCACACCCCAAAATACTTTGCAATTTAATATCAGAGTGACTAAGAGCAAGGCCGGGGGCATGGCGATACCTGGGCTTAAGCTTCATCTCTACCATTTGGCGGCCGTGGGACAAGAGAGCGTCCGTTACAAAGGTCTGGGGTGGCTCACCAAATCAGAGAGAAATTAGGTTTCAGGAGGGAGCAGAACCAGAGAATTTCTGGGTACGTTAGCAGGTCTCTGTAGGACTCCGTCACTGGGGTGAACTTGATTCTGTTCGTCTTCTGTCCAGGTATCTGTCTGCTCGAGGTTCAGATGCCTTCAGCATAGAATCTAGTGCACGTCCTGGGCCACCATCCTGGCTGATGGAATGAGTCAGACACCCTGACCAGCCCAGGGAGGGACGGTGGTCGTGTCCCCATGGAACCCCAGGATACCGTTTCAAAAGAAAAGGAATTAGGTTCTGGGCAGGCCACATAACACAGAGGTCTGCCCGGCAGGGGCAGTGTGGAGGCCAGCGCAAACACCTAGCAGTAAACTCTCAGGAAATGGCAGCCGTGGTCACGGTGAACGACAGCCCCAGGATGTGGGCACAGTTACTCGATTTGTCTTGTGTTTCAGGAACGCTTACCCAGAATGAGATGGTTTTCAAACGGCTCCATCTGGGCACCGTGGCCTATGGACTCGACTCCATGGACGAAGTACAGAGCCACATTTTTAGCATTTATACCCAGGTAAACCCTTCTGTTTTGACACTTGAAACACTTCCTTTGCATTTATTAACACTTGTGTTGAGCTGTCGTTCGTAACACTGTCCAGTTCGCCCATTTAGAGTGTGCCCTTCAGTGGTTTTTGGTTTATTTATAGTTTCGTCTTCATCACCCAGGAGAGAAATCACATCCCTGTTCGCCGTCATTCCCGCTCTCCCCCCCGCCCCCACCTCGTCTTCCAAACCCATGGTGACCTTCGGTCCTTTGTGTTTTGGATGAAATTGCCGTTGAGGGGCACCCGGGTGGCTCAGTAGGTTGGGCGTCCCACTTCAGCTCAGGTCATGATCTCACGGTTTGTGAGTTCGAGCCCCGTGTCGGGCTCTGTGCCGACCGCTCGGAGCCTGGATGGAGCCTGCTTCGGATTCTGTGTCTCCCTCTCTCTCTGCCCCTCCCCAGCTTCCACTCTGTCTCTCTCAAAAATAAATACATGTTAAAGAAAAATTAAAAACAGAAAAAAAGAAACTGCAGTTGAGACTTCCCCCATCTACCTCCTTCCCAGAGTTAACCTGCTCTACGGAAATGCTTACGGCTCTTAGGAAAAACCTAAAAGAAACTTGTTTGCCAGAAATAGCTTTGAGAGCCTCCTGGTTCGTGTCACTTCCTGTTCCTGGTCAGGAGCCAACGCAGCGGGAATGAGCCACCTGCTCCTGGAACAGTGTCACCGACCAGCTTCCGTGTCAACCCCGCGACCGCGTGCGGGAGAGTAGCCTGTCAGAGACGGCCTTCCGCTCTGCTGCTGCTCCCACATTTTTTCCCACAGAGTTTTTCAAAATCGATCCTTTTTTCACAGAAAGGTATTGCTAACATTCCTTAAAAGTCACACCAGTGGCTCCCACCTCGGCTCCTCGGAATCGCTGCTGACGTTTTAAATACAAAATGGAACAAAAACAAGGAATACCCGAGAGATTCTGATGTGTTATGATTAGGGGAGGGCTGGGCTGCTGTGTGTGTGTGTGTGTGTGTGTGTGTGTGTGTGTGTGTGTGTGTGTAATTAATAAAAAATTTTTTTAATGTTTATTTTTGAGAGAAAGAGAGACTGAGTGGGGGAGGAGCAGAGAGAGGGAGACCCAGAATCCGAAGCAGGTTCCAGGCTCCGAGCTGTCAGCACAGAGCCCAACGTGGGGCTCGAACCCACGGACCGTGAGATCATGACCTGAGCCGAAGTCAGACACCCAACCGACGGAGCCACCCGGGTGCCCCTGGGTTTCTGTGTTTTAATTTTAAAATGAGGGGGCGCCTGGCTGGTGCAGTCAGTTGAGCATCCGACTCTTGATTTTGGCTCAGGTCACGATCTCATGGTTCGTGGGTTTGAGCCCCGGGTTGGGCCCTGTGCTAACAGGGTGGATCCTGCTTGGGATTCTCTCTCTCTCCCTGTCTCTCTGCTTCTCCCCTGCTTGTGCTCACTCGCTCTCTCTCTCAAAAATAAATAAACTTAAAAAAAAAAAACAACATAAGATGACATACCAACAGATGCCTTGGTAATTCTGAGACACATCAGGGCCAAGTGCTTACCCGCAGGTACATGTTGTGGCTCTTGTTTGGAGAGGAGAAGAAAGAGGCCGTGTTTTACTTAAATTTGTCAAAATAGACAATGATTTTGTTGTTAGAAATCCAGTTGGAAATGTGCGGGAAGTATTTCTCTACAGGGGCTAAAGGTGGAATCCATGAGTACTGCATGGCACAGTTCTACCGGGCATTTAATTTTCCGGGACATTCGCTGGTAGGCATGCCTGGGGTTCCAGGTTATCTCCTAAAAACGGCAGAGCAGGAGATGCAGCTGGGAAGTGGGAGTGGGTTTTAAATGGAGGACAGTTAATTGGATTTATGTAACGTTCTCCTGTACAGTCAGTGGTGAAACTCCTGTAGTTTCTTCGAGGCTCCCTGTGTGGGCATTTGTGG